GCGTTCCTTTGACCACAGCAGGTTTGGAGATCACCACTCAAGATAGATGGACTCCCCTTTAGGGAGTGCTGTGTTTTCTACCTTTCAGAGGCCTTTTTCTACCTTTCATGGCCATCCCCAGTCTTGACCTTCCCTACCTGTTCACTCCTGGGTATCCATGGGCGGGCATATGCTGTGTGGCTCATGTGCAGAGGCAAGGAGAGCCCGGTCAGGTGGCGAGTAACACAAACAGCCAGAGAGTGGCACAGAGGAATCAATGGTTTCAAAGCCAAGTGCACTTAGTGTGAGGTCTGGGTTCCAGCTTTTCCTAGCTGTGTCGCCTTGGATAAGACACCCACTCTCTCTGGGCCTCCCTCTAACTGTGCAATACTATTATCAAGGGTCCCACCTCCCACGGTAAAGATTTGAGGAGTGCCCATACAGCTTTCAACTGGCATAGAGTGTGGGGGGGGGGTAAGCAGTGAGTATGGGATCCCTTTTGCAGACTATCTTTGAGATCAACGCCTCCAGCCGAGATCCAAGCAGCCAGATGATGCGTGCCAAGCGGCAGAGGGACAGAAAAGCTATCGCCAGCTTCCAGCAGGGGCGGCAAGAGAGGCAGGAGGGCCCAGCTGACCCAGTCCCCCAGAAGGAGCTGCCTCAGAAGGAAGAGGAAGAGGAGGACATGGCTGAGAATGTGGAGGTGTGCACTGCAGGGGTAGCTGGAGCTGAGGGAGAGGCAGCCAGGTTCTAGCAGCCCTTGGGGCAGGCAGTTGTACAGCCCCATGTCCCCATCTCCTGTCTATGGAGGTGGGGCACAGCCTCAATTTACAGTCTGCAAGAGATGGGTGTGGAGACTAAGGAAGTAGGACAGCCACAAGTTCAAAGCTAGCCTAGGCTACAGAGTGATACTGTCTTAGGCTAGCCTAGGCTACAGAGCTTAGATAACCAAAGGAAGGGGCTGTGGAACTGGCTCAGCAGTTAAGAGCTATGCTGCGTGGAGTCTGTCAACATACGCCTTTAATCCCAGCCCTGGGGAGGCAGATGCAGAGGGATTTCTGTGGGTTCAGGACCAGCCTGTAAATAGCAAATCCATATACTGAGAACCTGTGTCAAAAAGAACAAGAAAAGAGCCCAACTGCTCCTGCAGGGATTGGAGTTCAGTTGTCAGCACCCACATTAGGTGATTCACAACTGCCTGTAACTCCAGTTCCAGGAAATCTAGCACCGTTTTATGCATGTGTGCACGTGTGCGTGCACTCATACACACATGCGCACACACACACACACACACAACTAAAACTGAAAATAAAATCTGAAAAAAAAGAAGAAAGAGCCCCTTCCCCAACTGTTGTAGTCTGGGCTGTGGCTTAGCAGGAGCCTGAGGGCCTGGAGGGAGCAAAGCCCCAGCAGTGGTGCTGAAGGGTGGTGGAGGGTGGTGGAGTGATAGTGTACCCCACCGCAAGGCAGTGGCCTCCTCATAGACACCCACTCTGTCTCTCCTGTCTCACGGACAGCCACAAACCTCTGTGTGCATCCTCTTGAACAGAAGCATCCAGGGCTGAGTGGGGTCAGGGCCAGTACTGGAGCACGGTGCCATTGCCGGCGTCCGTTCTGTCCCTTCTGCCTGCACTGCTCTCCAAATCAGGGGCTGTTGTGTGTGCAGATAACGACATAGGGTCTGGCAAAAGAGTTTCCCTGGCAGATAAAAAGGGGCATCCTGGTCCCTGGTTCTAGTGGGGTTCCTCAAGGCCACAAGGATGACACTGGGCTTCTGTCTGCCAGGATGTCTTCACAGAGGTTGTGGGCCAGAAGCGGTCAAAGCCAGGACCTAACCAAGGAGCCAAGAGGCGGAGGGAGGAGGCTCGTCAGCGAGACCAGGAGTTTTATGTCCCCTACCGGCCCAAGGATTTCGATAGTGAGCGGGGGTGAGTGTGAGCTTGTGGCATAGCGTGAGGTGCATAAGGAGCGTCTGGCCCCATTAAATCTCCCTCTTGAATCTGCAGGCTGAGTGTTGGTGGGGCTGGAGGGGCCTTTGAGCAGCAGGTGGCTGGTGCGGTCCTTGACCTGATGGGGGACGAGGCACAGAACATGACCCGAGGTCATCAGCAGCTCAGGTGGTAAGTGAGCAGCAAGTCCAGGCAGTCCCTGGGTGCGGCCTTCTGTGTTTCCATTTGCTCAGGGAGTGGTGGCTCCTTGCCTGCCCATCTCCTTGGTCCACTATGTTTGGTAGCTGGTATTTCCTTGCTCTGCCCATGAGGACTCTGATGCTGCTTCACAAACACAGATGTCTGGGAAGCGGTGTGGGATCAGACCCCAAGTCCTCAAACCTTGAGACCTGGGCTGTCCAGGAAAGGTAGAGAGGTGATCGAGGAACTTTGAGTGTCCCATGCAGGCAAGTGTGACTGACTTCCTTTAATGCTCTGCTGGTTACATACATGTGAGGGCAGGTGAGGGAACAGGCTCCCCTGCAGTAGACTCCATCTCCCTCCCCCTCAGGGACCGGAAGAAGAAGCGGTTTGTGGGGCAGTCAGGCCAGGAGGACAAGAAGAAGATCAAGACTGAGAGTGGCCGGTATATCAGCAGCTCCTACAAGCGTGACCTGTATCCCAAGGGACAGACAGAGATGCGGGGGGCCGGGTGGCTATAGAAGGGGTTTGTGTAGGGGCGGGACTGGGTGGCTTCCCTAGCAACCTTCTATAAGAGGGTGGCTATAGAAGGGGTTTGTGTAGGGGCGGGACTGGGTGGCTTCCCTAGCAACCTTCTATAAGAGGCCTGCATCCAGCTCGGAAGCTGCAGATTACTTCCTTGACAAGGCTCTCAGCTACCAGAAGTGGAAGCAGAAGCAGAAAATCGATGACCGGGACTCTGAGGAAGAAGGGCCATCCAGCCAGCGAGGCCCTGGGCCCCGCAGAGGTGGAAAGCGAGGGCACAGTCAAGGTGGGCAGGGCAGGTGGTCTGGTCCGAGGGGGAAAGCCAGGCGCTGTGAGGTGCAGGGGTGAACATGGTCAAGGCTAGGACCTGCAGACTCTGCTCATTAGCAAAGCCCTGTCCCGTCCTCTGAAACAGCCCCACCCAGCAGACCAAGGTCACTGGCCTCTCCCACTCAGCAGGTGGTACCTGGGGTAGCAAGCAGTGGGGTGGACGATGGATGGTTCCCTGTGTGGGGCCATGTGCACACCTAAAGAGGTGGAAGCTGGTCCTGACCACTTCCCACCTGGAGTGCCAGTCTCCACGGGTTGGGATGCGATCTCTGTGGTGGCCATATTGGGCTGTTGGCAGCCACTGTTCAGGAAGTCCCTCTGTAAAGCTGGCATCAGCGGCGGTTTTGATACTGGAAACGTGGACTGGGCAGGGTGCCAGGTCACCTGGGGTTTGGCCTCTAAATTGGAGCCTGGCTCAGTCTCTGTGGGTCAAAGGCTGAGCTCCCCAAATCTCCATGCTGACAGGTGGGTCCCTGCCCCGAGGTGCCCCCAAAGGCCGCATGCGCTCAGAACTCAAGACCAAGGAACAGATCCTGAAACAGCGACGTCAAGCCCAGAAGCAGCGCTTCCTGCAGCGGGGGGGCCTGAAGCAGCTTTCAGCACGCAACCGCCGCCGAGCCCAAGAGCTGCGCCAGGGCGCCTTTGGCCGGGGCGCCCCCTCCAGGAAGGGCAAGATGAGGAAGAGGATGTGAGGAACCAGACTTGGCTCTGGAGCTTCCTGGTAGCCCCAGAGTGGACATGAGCGGAGCTGCCGTGTGCTGTTGGCAGAGCCCCTGCAGGAACCAGTGTCTGTGAGGAGCAGTGCTGTATGGTCACAGATAGAGCACAGGCTGCGTTTGACAGGATGTTGGGTGGGGTCTTGAAGGATGCATAGGAGTCTACTAGCAAAGCTCAGCAGACAAAGCCCGGAACCTGCAGCTCAGCTGCCACTGCTTCCATGAAATCAGGGATCAGAAGTCATGGCCATACAAATGTGGGCCCTGGCTGTCTCCGGCTGGACATTGGGTTTTATGTAGTAAACCTTTGTGCAGCACCGCTAGTACTCAGGAGTGTGGTTAACTTGGGGTGTTGGAAGGGAGACTTGCAGGTCCCAGCTTCCGTGGTAGCTGAGAGCAGGTGGCTTCCCCTGTGTCGGAGATGAGAAGAATGAGTCTCTGGGTGCGGTTGCTCGACAGCTCAGGGCTGCTGTAGGATGGAGGCTGCACTACCCTTCTGCACGTGAAGGTGAGAACCGGCCCGCGCCATCCTCGTGTCCTTCCTCCCACTGGTGGCTTTCCCCACCCCTTGCTTGAGGGTCTGGGAAGGTCAAGCATCCCACAGCACCTGGACCTCACAGGCAGGCACACACTGGGGGACTACCATTTGACCCCACCGAGCTGATGCTACCAACAGCCACTTATTGCTTGGACCCACCTTGCTTAGCAAGTGCCTATCTTGGAATACATCAGCGTGGCTAAGCTTGTCTGTGCCCCCAGCTGGGAGGGAAGCCTGTCCCCAGCCTGTGAGGTGGGTGAAGGGCCCAGCACAGCTGTCAGCCCCACTGACACTACTTAGATGAGTGTCCTGTGGGCTGGCACAGCTCCATCTTGCCCAGGAGGAAGGGTATTCAGAGAGCCGTTGCGTTGAGCCTGTACACCAAGAAATGTGGGACTCAGTCCCTCAGGTCTCCTTCACTGCTCGTCTGGCCGGACTAGGATACCGTGGCTGTGGGCTCAGTCTGGGCAAGGCTGGCCAGTGTGGCTGAGAGGTCCATGATAAACAGCTTCACCTGGGGGCAGGGGTGACATGGCCAGATCACTTCCTGTCCCCACCACACAGGGAGGCTGAGGGCAGTGGTGGGCCTGGAAATACCCCAGGAGAGGCATTGATGGTGTCCAGTACAGCCTCCCAAATGTCTGTCTTGTTTACTGTCAAGTACTGCTCAGACTCGTTCTCTAACTCACGGCAAACCTTCCTGCCTCAGTCTCCTGAGGATACAGGTGTATGCCACTGAATTGTTTATTTTGTTTTTGAGACAGGGTTTCCCTTTGTAGCGCTGGCTGTCCTGGAGCTCACTCTGTAGACCAGGCTAGCTTCGAACTCCCAGAGATCCATCTGCCTCTGCCTCCAGAGTGCTGGGATTAAAGGCCTGAGCCACCATGCCCAGCCACTGAATGATCTGTAACCACTTTGCCAGTTTCCAGCTGGCTCCCTGCCAACCCAGTGTCCCACCACATCAGGTGATATTTTCCTTGGATCAGGCTTATGTGTAGCCATCTCCATGGTGTCCTTTATGTGGTGCTAGTTGCTTATTTATATGAACTTCACCAACACCCATAGGCCACTGCTGTGAACTGAGGGAAGCTCCCAGCAGCCTGTTGGACCCTCTTCATGACCATCACCTGGGTAAATAAATATTAAGGACACAGCACCAAAGGGGGAAAAAGCAGAATAGCCATCCCTAGGCATAGCAGTGACAGTGAGGCCGGGTGACACAGTTCATCACTGATTCCTGGCCTGGAGTGTGGGCAGGAAAGGCCCAGCGTCCTTCCCCGGGCCTTCCTCATAGAGCAGAGGCATGCTGAAAAGAGACTAACTCAGCCAGACCAGATGCACAGCACACCTGTGATCCCAGCACTCAGAAGATGGAGGCCAGGGTGTGTGTGTGTGTGGAGTTCAAGGTTATCTGCTACCTAGTTTGGGGTAAGCTTGGGCTTAAGTATGAGACCCTGCCAAAGACAGCCTGGTTCACATGACGCCGGGACCCTCTTGGACTTGTGTGCATCAAAGAGCCAGGGCAGCTCAGACGAACTGGCCTCGGTGACTAGCCAGTCCTGCAAAGGGCACACAGATCCACTGGCAGTTGTGGCAGATACAGTCCAGGCAGCCGAGTGTGGGGCCAGGAAGTCACTAGACCCTTAACCCTGAGGCGTCCCCACAGTGGGAGCTGGGTAAGAAGCGACACAGAGAGTCTCACCTCCTCTAGCTGCCCCTCGGTGTCCTCCATGTCCAGGGCTAGAGGCTGACTCTGGCGCAGGCGCACAAGCTGGTACAGGTTGAGCACAGCCATTCGAGTGCGTCCCAGGAGCAGCGTCTTGGCCGCTGCAGTGTTCTGGATTTGAGTCCACTTGGATTCCTACAGAACGCACATGCAGAGATCGCTATAAAGTCAGGACCTGGTCCTGGGGTCTGGGAGGCTGCACCACCCGACAGGTGCACCCATGTGTTCTGTGGGGCGGGAACAAGCACTATCTGGTACCCTTGACAATGCGGTGCCCCAGCCCTTGTGGTTACTTCAGCGGGTGTGTCCACTCCAGCCCCGGGGACGCTCACCCACTGCCGTGTGCGCTCACGCGCTGCCTCCAACTGCTCTCGCAGTTGTGCACGCTGCTGGCCCAGGCGCAGCAGCTCATCCTGCTTCGTTTCCCGAAGACGATACAGCTGAGCATGGGTCTCGTCCAGCTCCACCTGTCGCTTGCGCTCTGCCAGCTTCAATGCTGCCTGCGTATCTACCAGGCCATCAAAGCGCGCCACCAGTTCCGGAATCTCCTGAAACTGGAGAGGGGACTCGCATGGCCTGCAATGCCCCTGTTCTCCCCACCTGACTTAGCCAACACCCCTCAGAAGCGTCCTCCATCCAGATGTGTCATGGGACACCTCAGGCCCTGAAGCAAGGATAGCGGGATTTGAGTGAGCCCTGTTCATGACCTTCTCGCCTCCAATTATCAAACCTAGCTGAGCTGGCTAGGCGCCACAACTTTTCCTTGATACCACTTGTTCATTCAAGGAACTTTACCAAGGCTGTTACCTGGAATGCCAGCACTTGAGAGATGGAGGCTGGAGCCAGCTCAACTACATACTGAGTACCTGGTTAGCTTGGGCTACAGAATGGGACCCCATCTCAAACAAATAAGGCAAAACAATACAAAAACAAGCCCAAAATAGAGCCGGGCATCGTGGCAGCACAAGGCTGAGGTGAGAGGAGTAAGGTGAAGGTTTTTGGAGCAGTGGTGGTGCAGGTGGTGGCGCTCACCTTTAATCCCCAACACTGGGGAGGCAGAAACAGGCGGATCTCTGAGTTCAAGGCTAGCCTGGTCTACAGAGTGAGTTTCAGGACAGGCAGGGTACACAGAGAGACCCTGTCAAAGGTTCGGGGAGTTGAAGGGTGGCCTTAGCTATGTAGGGAACTCAAGACTAGCCTGGGCTATATTCTCACTTCTCAACAAATCAACCAAACACACACACACACACACACACACACACACACAATATCTCTTCCCCAAAGCTAACCTTCCACAAATAATAAAATTTATATTATTATCTGTCCTTTGTCTTTCTGTTCTGTATCTCTGTCTCTGTGTCTCTCTCTCTCACACACACACTTGACTGCGTAAGGACAGATGAACCTTTTGCAACTTTTTTTGACCTGTAGTATGAGGTTGTTGCCAATAACAGGACCCACTTGACCGGATTTAGAGGATGACTGGAAAACAAAGCGCATCCCTGGTATACCGTGAGGTGGTGTTTCTTGTACACAGTCAGCACTGACTAGAGCTTCAGAACAAAGCAGTCCCCACGCCCCCAGCGCCGCTCACCTCCGGCAGCTGCTCCAGCACGCGCTCCAGCAGGCTCGCGCAGGGCTCCAGGCGCCGCAGCCTGCGCTGCAGCCGGGCGCGCTCCCGCCGCAGTTCCTGCAACTGTGCGCGCAGCCGCAGTGCCTCTGCCTCCCGGTGTCGCACTCCATGCCCCTCCTCAGCTGCTCTCCGCTGCGCGCGGCCTCGCCGGGCCTCGGCTTCCTGAGAGGAGGATGGAAATCAGGGAACCTCAGGACTCGCGGCCTCCACCAGCCGCGACATTCTCTCTCTTAGTGTAGACTCGCGGAGGTTATGTTACTGCTCCTCCTCCACCCTCTGGCAATCTGATTTCCCCACTTCAGGAGGCTTTTCTAGGTGGGGGCCACTCTAGAGTGGCAAGCAGGAGCCCCTGCGATCCACCTCCGGCCCTCAGCATTCACCGACCTGCAGGAATTTGTCAAAGCGGATGAAGGACTCCTTCAGCGCCTGCTCTTTCTGTTCCAGCTGTGCCCAGCGCTGGCTCAGGGTGGCCATCCTGCTGTGGAACTCCTTGAAGTGGGGTGCAGTTAGAGGTGTCAGGTCGCCTGATGTTCCCAGCTCCCTGGATCATATCCTATATCCCCCTGTGTGCTTTGAATGCTAACTCCCAACCTTTTCACACTCTTCTCTTCCAGACGCTCCATGTTTCAGCTACCTGACCTTCTGAGCTTTTCTTAAATTTTTTTAAATTTTTATTTTTAAATTTTTTATTATTAAAAATTTCCACCTCCTCCCGTTTCCCTCCCCCTTCCCCCCCTCTCCAGTCCAAAGAGCAGTCAGTGTTCCCTGCCCTGTGGGAAGTCCAAGGTCCTCCCCCCTCCATCCAGGTCTAGGAAGGTGAGCATCCAAACTTCTTTTTTTAATATTATGTTTTAAATTGTATGTATTTAGGGGAGAGGTGCGTGCATGTGAGTGCAGTGCCTTCAGAGGCCAGAAGAGGGCGCTGGATCCCCTAGAGTTGTAGGCTGTTGTGTGGCCCCTGATGTGGGTGCAAGGATCTGAACTCGGATCCTCTCTAAGAGCAGTCAGGGTAACAACGGCTCATCCATCTCTCCACTTCCGTGACCTTCTGAGCTTTGTCCTTGAATTCTGGTTTTTGTTTTGAATGTCCCCCTTTCCTACTCTTTCTCCTTTCTTCCTTTGCTGCATTATCTGGTTTGCCCACCCACAGTCCCTAAGCCCTCCCTCCCTCCCGTCCTCCAGGAAGTCCTGCTTGTCCACTCTCACTGGGGAGTAGAGGTTCCCCCAGAATCCGACAGCCTTTGCCCAGTGCCTTCCCACTCAGCAACCCCTACTTGGATGCCTGTTTTCCTCTCTAGACTGTGAAACTCCAGAGGGCAAGGGCCAGTACTGAGCACAGCACACAGTAGGTGCCAAGTGTTCTCACTAGATCTTCCTTTGATAGATAGGAACATCAGGGCTCAGAGCAGACTCACCCCAGACTGTGTAACCTCCATTGGGCACCACCAGTGTGTACCTGAGGACACCCCAAATTTCAGCAACTGAGGCTCACCTCCTTCTGGACCTGCAGACCCTGGTCCGCAGCTGCTAGCTCTTGCTTCTTCTCCAGGAGATGCAGCAGAGGTGGAAAGTGAACCATGTTCTGCTCTACCGGCTTCCTGGAGGGACCCAAAGAGAAGGAGGTTACAAGAAGAAGATTTGGAGCCCCAGACTCCTGGGGGTGCCTGGAATGGCCCCACTCACCACCTTCTGAGTTAGTTTTTTTTTTTTTTTTGTAGGTGGGGTTAGCCTTGAACTAACTTTGTAGCTGAGGATGGCCTTGAACTCTTGATCCACAAACCTCTACCTCTTGAATGTTAGGATGGCAGACATGAGGCTGGCATGCCTACTGGCTTTCAGGTTTTTAAATTGTTCACAGGTTTGCTGACCACTTGTTCTAACCAGGCAGTGTACCTAGTCAGAGTAATTGCAGTCATCAAGAAGACAGACAGAAACCTGTGTTGCTGGAAACTACACACCCCGGGACCACAGACAGCTAACACAGATAATAACAGCAAACACTGCTCCACCAGACGGTGGGCCCTGGCATGTAAAGTTCCGTGGGCCAGAGGCAGTTTTCAATACGGAGTCAGGAAGTCTCTCTGAGCAAAAGATATCGGGACAGGGCCACAGGGAGCGAGTTGTACTGACAGCTGCAGGGCACAGAGTCCAGGCCAAGGGAACAGCCAAGAAAGACCCAGGATCCCAGCGAAACACCTGGGTTTGCTGAAGGAACCGTAAAGTCGAGAGTTGAGAGGGGAGATGGCGGGTGGAAATTAAAATCAGAGCTGTCCAAAGTCAGACAGTGGCGGGCCATGGGGGAAGAAGACCTTGGCCACAACTCTTGGTGAGATGGTAGCCATGGGCAGGTTTTGAGTGAAGTAGAAAATCCTGTGGCTGCTGTGAGGAGCTGGGGACCATGTGTGCTCAGTGGTGGGGCTTAGGGACCCCAGAAAGAATGGTGGCGCACGCCTTTAATCCCAGCACTCGGGAGGCAGAGGCAGGCGGATCTCTGTGAGTTCGAGACCAGCCTGGTCTACAGAGCTAGTTCCAGGACAGGCTCCAAAGCCACAGTAAAACCCTGTCTCGAAAAAAAAAAAAAAAAAAGAAAGAAAAAAAGAATGTCATTCTGATCAGGACGGGCAGGATTGACAGATGAGGATGGATCCATTCTGGGTACAGCTTGACAACAGAGCTGATGGAGCAGGGCAGGGTGAGAGAGGAATAAAGATGAACTCTGACCTCTGTAGCTGTAAAGGTGTCACTTGGAAGGATGACTATAGGCTGAGCAGATGGGGTGTAGAGACTACTGGTCCCTGCTCTGACCGCACAGAGAGGGGGCATTCCTCTGTGGGGAGTGGTCTAAGAGAGGCTGAGTGTGGGCGCCTGGCTCTCCCGGAAGGATGGGAAGGAGTCAGACAGAGTCTGACTTGTCACTCAACTGGCTTGCCCAGCTCTGCCAGCATCAGAAGTGTCCACTCCTCCTAGTTTTACAGATACCTACTTTTAGGGACAGGGTGTCCCACTGTGCACAAACAAAGTGTTATAGGGCTGATATCCTTAAAATGCCACTTCTCCACTCCACAGCAGCTCGCTGGAAAACTCCTTTCCACCCTGGTTCAAGGATTTCTTCTCTGTAAGATACTGGCCAAGGCTGGGGCAGGAGCAGGCTAGCTATCCCAGGAGCCCAGTGACCAGCTGGGCTCTGACAAGACCTTGGGGGAGACGTGTAGGGAGGGGAGACGTGTAGGGAGGGGAGACGTGTAGGGTCTGAGCTAGAGATTCTCTTAGGCCCTTTGCAGCCCACCACAAGACTGCCCAAAGGCTGCAGGGACTCCAGGAGAAGGGATGACCAATCTGTCTACTCATCTCCCCTCTCACCCCACCCACCCGCTCCTGGCAACACTCACGCAGGCACTTTCTCTTGGAAGACCAGTCGGAAATACTCCTCCCATGCCACTGCCATTCACCTTCAGGTATCTTCAGCCGCCTTAGCAAAGTTGAGGGGCATAGACGGAGAGTGCTGCCCCTGCCTGGAACTCCCAGAAGCCCAAGGCTGAGCGAGCCCTGGTTGCCTGGGCAGTCAACAGTGCAACAACATTCTGTTGCCAGGTTGCAGCCTAAGACCCACCCCTGATAGGAACAGACAGCAATCAGGAAGGGAGGGGATGGCTGTCCCCTATCTAAATTTGGATGCAGCGCAGGACATGGGTCTTGGGTCAACATTTCCTTTTCTGGGAGGTCCGTGTGTAGCCAAGCCTTTCATGGCTGAGTAGGGTTGGGCATCTCCATGCAACAGTCTGCTCCTTCATGCACACCAGAGAATAATCGGGGCTGGACTGGGCTCAAGGCTAAAGCTTTACCCTGGCACATGCAAGGCCCTGGGTTCTATCTCCAGTCCTGTGGCCCCACAAAAGAGTAATTATTGGGTGCCCACTGTTTGCTCTACCCTGTGTACTGTCAGTCACTCTGGGAAAACTGCTGAGGATGGTCTCCAGCCCTTTGAGTCTCCGTGCCCGTGCTGGCGATGGGGGCTATCCTGACCCTGCCTTACAGGGCCCTACGCTGGTTTGCGGACAGTGCTGCTCTGAAGAGGTGATTTGCGCTTGAAGGGTGGAGGAGGGAGAGGCTGTCACAGTTTGAGTGATTGATTCCAGTCAGGCAGGATGCTAAGCCTTTCATTGCATAGTACAACATTTAACCCAAGGCGCTGGTGCTAGGAGAAAGGGCTTGACAAAAAATATCCACAGTATATTCAGCTGGAAGAGGCAAGCAGTAACTGGTCACTTGCTTCAGACTGTTCAAATCCCTCTCCCCTCCCTCCCTCCCTTTCTTCTGTACTTCCTTGAGACAAGGGTCAAACTTTGTAGCTCAGGCTGGCCTTGAACTCACAGAAATCATCCTGCCTCGGCCTCCAAAGTGCTGGGATTATAGACACGAGTCATCACATCTATTTTTTTGAAAATCTCAGTTTCTATTTTTGATGTTTGGTGGCGGGGGGGTGGGATTCAAGACAGTTTCTTTGAGACAGGGTCTCACTCTGTACCAAGTATGCACCAGCCTAACTATGTAGCCAAGGCTGGTCTCTAACCCATGCTGAGTTTCCCGCATTAGCGTCTTGTAATTTTCCTTTTCAAAGGAATATATTTCTTTTGTTTACCTTTAAGTATTGTTAGCCGGGCCATGGTGACACACGCCTTTAATCTCAGCACTCAGGAGGCAGAAGCAGGTGAATCCCTGTGAGTTTGAGGCCAGCCTGGTCTACAAGAGCTAGCTCCAGGACAGCTTAGGACTGTTAAACAGGGAAACCCTGTCTCGAACTTTCCCCCCAAAAAAGAATTGTTTTATTGCCAGGCATGATGGGAGGCAGAGGCAAGGGGATCTCTGTGAGTTCAAGGTTAGCCTGGTCTACAATGTGAGTTCCAGTATAGCCAGGGTTGCACAGAGAAACCCTGTCTTGAAAAAAAATTTAGTGTGTGCATGTATATGTTCATGCATGTGTATGTACATGTTCATGCATGTGTATACGTGTGCATGTACACACGTGCGTGTATATGTACATATGTGTGCGTGCGTGCACATGCATGTGTATGATGTGTGTATGTAATGTGTGCATGTGTGTGCATGTGTATGCATGTGTATGCATCCATGTGTGCATGTGTATGTGTGCATGCACACGTGTGCGTGTATATGTGCATATGTGTGCATGCGGGCGCATGCATGTGTGTATATGTGTGTGTGCATGTGTATGTGTGTGTCTGTGTGATGAGACTTGTGAGACTTGTTTCTCTTCTTAACCTCATGGGACCTGGGATTGACTTCCCACCTCCGTCTCCCAAGTGCTAGGATTATGTGCCAGTTAGATTTACGTCAATTTGACACAAGCTAGAGCCCTCTGAGAGGAGGGAACCTCAACTGAGAACACGCTTCCATCAGATCCAACTCTGGGCAAGCCTGTAGGGCGTGTTTTAAATTAGTGATTGATGAGACCCCAGTAATCTGTAGGTGGTGCCATTCTTGGACCAGTGGTCCCGAGTTCTATAAGAAAACAGGCTGAGCAAGCCATGGGAACAAGCCAGTAAGCAGCACCCTCTATGGCCTCTGCATCAGTTCCTGCCTCCAGGTTCCTGCTCTGTGTGAGTTCTTGCCCTCACTGCTTTTGATGCTGTGGAACTGTGAGTGAAATAACCCTTTCCTCCCCAAGATGCTTTTGGTCATAGTGTTTCAGCACAGTGATAGTGACCCTAATCAAGACCGCTATCCTGCTCAATTTGATTGGTTCATTGATTTAAGTTAAGGTTTCTCTGTGTCGCCCAGGCTGACCTCAGGTTCCCAATCCTTCCTCAGCCCCTCCAGCATAGGAATTCCAGCCCTGGCCAACCTATACTTACTTTAATGCCTACATTGCTTAAAACGGCTCCTAGGGAACTTCGTTAGGGGATATTTTTAAAAAGGAGATCTAAAATAACCCACAGTTTCCCTTTGAGCATTTTGCATTAAATTACCCACATTATCTTTCCGCGTAACCTGACGTGAAGCTTCGGCAAGAAACATGATCTCATTTTTCTTAATTAAAAAAATAGAGGTGTAATTTCTGCATCCTGAAATTCACCCCTTTTTTCACACACGTTTTCATGGGCTGGCAAAAGTGTAAAGCCGTGTGGCCACGACAAGTAAGGCAAATCCCACGAGTCTCTGTGCCCATTCGTGATCTGCCTGGGGTTCATCCCCACCTTGAGCCTTGAGGCTACGCAGGTGCACATCTGCAATCACGGCACTCAGGAGGCTGAGGAAGAAGGATGGAGAGTTTAAAGCCAGCCTGAGCTACATACATGGCAAGGCCCCATCTTAAAAACAAAACAAAACACCCAGGCTATACTGAGTCACAGCGTAGGTTCGAGGCCAGCCTGTGCAACCTACTGAGATTCTGTCTCAAAAGGAAAAGTAATGAAAAATGGGGGCCGAGGATGAAGCTCAGTGAAAGGAGAGAGAGAGAAAGAGAAAGAGAGAGAGAGAGAGAGAGAGAGAGAGAGAGAGAGGAGGCTGAGCCTGGATTCTATCCCTGGTGATGGGGTTGGGGACACGTGGTGATGAGTGATATGTGTGACCTTTGGACTCTGTCCACTGACTGTCATTTGGAAGCATTGCCACGGGGTCAGTCCCCTCTTGTTCCTGGCCCAGTAGTATTTACACCATTGGACTTATTCTGTCAACTTGATGCAAGCTAGAGTCACCTGGGAAGAGGGACCCTCAGTTAAGCAATGCCTCCATTGGCCTGTGGGGGGCATCTTCCTTCCTTCCTTCCTTCTTCCTTCCTTTCTTCCTCCCTCCCTCCCTCCCTTCCCCTCCCTCCCTCCCTCCCTTCTTTCTTTCTTTCTTTCTTTCTTTCCTCCTTTCTTTCTTCCTTCCTTCTTTCTTTCCCCTTCCTTCTTCCTTCCTTCCTCCCTCCCTCCCTCCTTTATTCCTTCCTTCCTTCCTTTCTTCTTTCTTTCTCCCCACCCCACTTTTTTCTTTTCTGAGGTTTCTCTGTGTACCTCTGGCTGTCCTGGAACTCATGATGTAGACCAGGCTGGCCTTGAACTAAGATATCCACCTGCCTCTGCCTCCCGAATGCTGGGGAATGCATCAACATGGTGGTACGTTTTCTTTATTAATGATTGACGTGGGAGGGACCAGCACATTGTGGGCGGTGCCATTCCTGGGCTGGTGATGCTCAGTTTTATAAGAAAGCAGGCTGAGCAAGGCACGAGGAGCAAAGCGGTAAGCAGCTTTGCTCTATAGCCTCTGCATCAGCTCCTGCCTCTGACTTCCCGCAGTGATGGCTTCAGCTCACAGCTCACAGCCATCACTGTGGGTTGGCTAGGATAGCTAGGGACACTGTGCACTGTGGTTTCTTCAGCCCTTGAATGGAGAAACTCAGCTGCTTTCCATTAAAGCCCTAGTGTCACTGCAAGTGAAGATGGACCTCTGGGTCCTGTCTGCTAAACCTGTGATCCTCCACGGAGCTGCACTCCAGGTTCCCATAATCACCTGTCAGTTTCTTGTTGTTTTGTTTTGCTTTTACACAGGGTTTGATGTATCCCAGGCTGGCTTCAGTATAGCTGAGGATGACCTTAGACTATGGGTGTGGTGTGTGTGCATGGAGCCAGGGGACAGCCTAATGGCATTCTTCAGGCACCATCCTCCTTTTTAATATTTTTATTTATTTATATTTATTTCATTTGTTTTTGAGATGGGGTTTCTCTGCGTAGCCTTGGCTGATAGCTTTTATTTTTAAGCATTTATTATTACTACTACTACTTCTACTACTACTATTTTTTTTTTTTTTTGAGACAGGGTTTCCCTGTGTAGCTCTGGCTGTCCTGGAACTTGTTCTGTAGACCAGGCTGGCCTCAAACTCAGAGATTCGCTTACTTTTGCCTCTTGAGTGCTGGGATTAGAGACGTGCACCACCACCCAGCCCAAACACTTATTTATTTATTGTGTAGTTTGTGGGCAAGCCACACTGCATTTCTTGGGGTCAAAGGTCAACTTGAGCCGGTTCTGTCATTCCATTATGTGGTGTTGGAAGTGGGTAGACATTGAATTTAGGTCATCAGAGTTGGTGGCAAGTGCCCTTACCCATTGTCCCCTCCCTCCCTCCCTTTTTTGAGACAGGGTATTTCACTGCTCCTTTTGTCCTGCCTCCCCAGTGCTGGGATTACAGGTGATGGGTGCTGTGCCCCAAGCTCAAGTCCTCATGCACACACAGGCAACATTGCTCTGAGAGAATGATCTCCCCAGCCCCCCTTATGAGGAATTCTAGAATCAGGGAACACTGTATTCCATAAAACAGAATAAATGTTCCCAAAGCTGGAACGAAAGAAGGTGGCTTAACGGAAGAGGGAGGCGTGAAGAAAGTCAGAACCGAGACAGACAGGAGGGGCTAGGGAGCCTTGAAAACATGAGGGCCTGAGTTCCCATCCTTAGCTCCCTATCAAAAGCTGGCCGTGGTGGAACA